CCATTTGTCGCAATTCGTTGCCTTATCGGCACGCGTTAATTCGTAACGAGGATTCCAGCTGGCCTCCGGATTCTGGATTTTAAGATATCTGCTCGTTCGTTCTCAATTTTGGAGAAATTCGGACGATTCTTCCGCTTCGTCGAATATCCTTAGATTCGTAATTTGAGAAATTCAGCAGGAGAAACGATCGAGTGTGCGCATCTATGTTGCACAGCTGCGATAGATAAGAGGGAAGCGTAGAAACACATTCGCTCGTTTCATATTAGAGTTACGTTTCTAACAACGCACAGATATTTTCCAATATACCGCGTGTCGCGTTTCATTCGATACATCGAAGCGCATCCTGCGACGTGACACGCGAAACGCACCGCACTGAAAGGTGTGCCGGTCGCGTGCTCATCGTCGTCGGTGTCCTATTGCAGCGGGAACCGTCGCTTTTCTCTCTCGCGACTCGTTTCACCGTTTCACAATTGTTCGGTGGTGTTTTCGATCGAAAACATTCTGGCGGCAGCAAGAAGCTTCCACGAGTCTGCAACACGGTTAGAAAGAATGGAATTGCGATTGGATCGTTAGCCTCGTGGGCAGCCTTGGCAGAAGGGACTGGTCTCTCGCGTTAGGATTGCACCGAATATGTACACCGAAGCGATCCGTGGAAAAAGTCGCGATGGGAGGATTCGCATGCGTGGACGCTCACACGCCCCCCATTCCCATTGGCATTCGCGTCTCGGCGTTGTTAGCGAATTCGTTCACGAGCAGGTACTTGGCAACTCCAACAGCGTGTCGGATCGAATGAAATCAGGGCTGATAAGCGGCTGCAATGTCTATGCGAATAGACGGTGATTGCTATTGTTCGCGACAATACGATTACGCCGATTTAACCGTGGCTTTCTCCCCGGCCGAACGAGAAGGCGTTTCTCCTCGATCCGAGCTCCGTGCCTCCCCCCTTCGAAACACCCGAAAACGGTACGAAACGCGCTCTTCTCTCGTCTCCCCAATTAATTCGGCCAGCTTTCCGTTTCCGTTAGCCGCGCGCGAGAATCGTCCGCGAACGCGATCCTTCGATCCCGTTGATCCCGTTGATCCGCAAGAAATCGGCTCGGCTCGACTCGGATCGGATCGAAGGTAATTAGTGCGAGCATTCCCTCCGCTTGCGAACACGCCCATAGAAAGTCCCGCGAAAGAAAGCGCGCGCGAGGGCGACACTTTCCTCGATAACGAAACCTCGACGCTCGTCGATCGACTCGAGTTCGAAATTCTGCTCTTCTTGTCTCCCTTCTGCTCTCGCGAGTCGATCTCGCCTTCGGATCCGCGCCGAGAAAAATTTAACCGAGCTCGCTCGATACCGCGGCAAAACCCTGCCGCGGCTTGATTGCGCTCTGCGAAACGAACTTTCAGCCGGATGCTTCGTGTTCGGAGCGTTTTCTTGCTTCGGTGCCCGCCTGCAGGGAAATATCACCGATCCGGACCAGCGTCTACGGTTTTATCACGGTAACCGAGCTTTTTCACCGTGTAATCATCCGTACGTGATTGCGCTACGACCGCGGTCGCGTCCCGTTCCGTTCCGTTCCTTTTTCCTCCAGCGAATGCCCTTTTTTTCGGGTTTCCTTCGCCCGTTTCTTTGTTACCTGGCAAATGACTTTCAATCGCCGCGGAATCTTGCTCCAGAAAATCGTGAAATCATGCGTTTCTAATTCCTTTAATCATTTTTCGACAGCTGTTGCCGCCGGCGATTCTACTTTTCTGCGTTTCGCTTCGTTGGCGTTGCTTAACTTTCTTACCGGTCTAACGTTATTAATAATTGTCGGGAGTCGAATGACTGGCAATCTGTCGCAATCTTATGTCCGAAAGATCGAGTATGAGATCAACTGGAAAATCGGAAGGTTCGCTCGAATCATCGAAGATTCGAACCATGCTCCGTGCACCGTGTGCACCTACTGAAATATTGTGTTTCTATCGAGGACAAGGGCAAGGTATTACCGCACTAGATAACGCAAAGACCACACGGAACAGTTCGTCGGTTCCACTCGGGCTCGGGCTCGGGCGCTCGGTCTCGGGCGCTCGGGCTCGCGGGATCCAAAGGCGATCGCAAAACATCGGCATTAATGTACCGAGGAACGATCTCGCTGGGATTACGATCTAGGGACAGGGTCCGGCACACGTGTCCGGCATGCCGGACAGAGTCGCGGACATTTAACCGTCCGTGAACGTCCGACGGAGTCTTAAAGTGTCCTCGCTCCAGGTGGAACGAATCGAATGTCGTTCCGAGAACCGGGCCCCGTCCCCTGGCCCGTCCCCTGTCCTGTCCCCTGTCCCTTCCGCTGTCCTGTCCGCTGTCCCGCCGCGATCGTACCGTTTCACGGTTTTCTTGGTTCGACGATCGATCGATCGTCGGTGCTCGCGCGAATTCGAAAGCAGCAAGATATCTGTGCATCCTGGATTCCCGAAAGCGGTTCATTCGCTGAGATTGTTCGCCTGTTAAAGACATCCGAACGACGAATTGAAAGCAACCGAAAATTAGAGGATCTATTGGATCGGGGCTCGCGATGATTTTTGGGTGCTTCAATTTCCGAACGGGAATCGTAGTTCTCGCGTTGCAGGGCCGGCATGGCATGGCATGGCATGGCAGGAGCATGGTCAACGAAACTGCGAAAAATGGCATGCACGCCGAAGCATGATTCCGGCGACTCCTCTCTTCTCTCCTCGTCTCTTCTTCTTGCTTCGGGGTGCTTGTTCTTGCTCGTACAAATTACCGCAGAATTTTG